CCTAGAGAGGCAATGACATCGCGCTGTGCCGATCGGGGAGCCGCGCGCAGGACAAGATTCATTCCGGGATAGCGGCAAGGCCGTTATGTGCCGCTCTTTGCCGCATGCCAGTTGCCAGCTTCCAGAACGAAGGTCAAGGCGGAGAAATGTGGGACAGGTCCCGTCTGGTCTGAAGGCTTTTTGTAGCACTGCTGTCGTCTCTACGTCGTCATAAGTAGGCATGCGGATAGGGTAAGATCTAAGACACCAGTGTAAATCAAACAAAAACTTGACCCAAAGTGGCAGTACGCTTGAACGGTGTGCAGATAATGGTGTGAGGACGCTTCGTGGAGGGGTGCGAAGAGAGCTTCTTGGATGGCCCGGGGAACATCCTCTCTCGTGCGCGCCGTCGTCCTCCGCCATTCACCTGGTGCTGACCATCGGCCACCTGCGAAAAGGCTTCAGTAACGCAATGTGATGGTGATGGCGACTCGTGTAGAGACGCGGCGCTGCTACGTTGCTACATTACATTGCTGGGCCTCCTTCTCCGATCTTGGCTCCGCATGCTATGACTCTGCATGTACGGAGTAATATTAATTGCCAGCCGCTGTATTGTTCCCCAATTCCGGTAGTATTGGTGGCTGTAATTCGTAGGCTGAGTGAGTGCCTGCAGGCAGCACATCTGCATGTCATGCATGTCGAGGCGGCCGCGCCCGGATCAGGCAAGCAGGCAAGTGATCGCGCAGTAGTAAATCCTGAGAGATTGGATTCTTCCTTTCGGTCTCGCACCGACCAGATACTAAACTCCAATCTACAAGACCAACAGGCCTGGCGGCGGAGGAGGAGCCTGAAGAGAGGAAAGGCCGGTCCCAGCGACCAACCCGTCCCCCAAATTGGTATCGCCATCCGGTGATTCTTCTTTGTCAAGAGTCGACGCTGAGACACTAGAAGATAAAAAAAATTCATATCGATACGTAATAGTTGGTGCTTAATCGGCCGTTTCCGACCGACGCGTCTGACATGACAGGCTTCGAGATGGAGGGGCGTGTGCCGTGAATGAGTGTGTCTGTGTGTGCGTGTGCATGGACGGCCCAAAGAAGCCTCGTCGAACGTTTGAGATGCTGCCTGCGGTGGTTTCCCAATCTCCAGGTCTCCGCCAGAGCTGTCTCCATGTGGTGAGGACGAGAGAAGCTTCAAGGTTAGAACATGAAGCCTGACTCCACTCTCCAGTTGTGGCGCCCGGCCGCTGAATCTTCTAGCGCAGGAACCAACGACTTCGCGCGCGGCGTCCTTCCGATTCTGTGTCTTTCGCCGTGTCCACACCGTGGCCAAAAGTCCTCTTAGCGCAAGGTTAGCAAGGTCCCTCCCGGGCTAATTGGCTATGAATAGGACTGGGAGAATGGCCCCCAAAATGCTTCGGTAATGGCATCAAAAAGAAGTTCCATCGAAGGCCAGCCTGCATGCATGGACCGTTTGCCCATCTGCAGCACTGCAGCACACCCACTTCCCATTCAATCTTTCAATAGGTAGGTAGGGTATTATCATGCACAAGCAAGCACATGTATATGTATCTTCAAGCACACATATGCAGGTAGGCAGGGACGTTGCATGCCATCTTCAGGTCAGAAAAGATCCCCATGTACGTTCGCGTGTTGGGTATGCATGCTTCGATGCTCGAACTAATTTCAGCCCTCGACTCAGGGGCTCCCTCTTCGAGCGCCTCGTCTCCGCAAGGGTTTCCCTTGTTAGACACGCAGTTGGTCGCACAGGGGAAGACTCGAGATCTCTGGGGGTGATTGGCGATGACGCTAAGTCTCTGCGGGGACAGCACTTTGCTTGGTGCCTGATTTGAGGTCTTTTGATAATTACATTGTTCTTTTCCTCTTGCTTGCATAGTAGATTTGGGCCCCAAGATCTTCACATAGCGCTGTATCGCGCCCACTTGGGCTGGCTGTTGGCTGCCTACATGCCCACACGACGCCAATTTGGCGTCTCCGGGCACATATCCCGATGCGAACAGGTGTGGCAGTCTCGGTAAAGCCTTCAATCTCGGTAGAGCACAGAATCACCGAGCCTAGGCATCTCTAGTGAAACTACAGCACTCTCCATGATTTCATGACACATTCGAGCCGAGGCCAGCCTGATGATGAGGCAATGAATGCCAAACATTCAGTTGACTCCCCAACTATGTGGTAGGATTTTGATATCACTGGCCAAAGCATTGTGCTTTCCAATTGTCTCAAAGAGCTAAGGCAGGGAACGCCATCAGACCACAAGCTCGTCCGACCGATTGGGGTGGCATGTCGCAGTGACACTTTGCGAAGCCTCTGGGAACTGAAACTGAACTTGGACCGTAGTCCAGACCATACATACGTCCCTCCGTTAGTCACCTGAAGTCTAATATAGCTTGCTCGCCTAATGAGGTTTCACCTTAGCTAGCATCTCCGTTAGTTGGCATGATGCAAGTTCCTATCCAAAGTTGAGTGCCGCCGGACTGTTTGCTCGGTCTGTTTATCCGAATGACACTCATGGGGCGGCAGAGACATTTGACTTACATCATCATCTCAATGGCAGCACTTCTTTCCATTTTCAGGCCCGTGTTAACTCTTTTGGGCAGCGATATCTCGCCATCGACGAGAGTTCGCTGAACATCTATCAAATATAATGCCGTGTAAAAGAACTCACTACGTAGCAATGTTTAAGACTATAATCCAAATTTTACCGCATTCTAGGTAGGTAAAATCAATTGATTTTGTAGTTCTCGGGATGGCTATGAAGACCGGTTTAGACATATACAATTCCTCTCTCATCATGGACCATCTATCTCACATCATATGAACACTTCGCGTTCTAAATTTCACTCTATCTGTAGCTAAGGCCTTCCTGCTTTTCCTTGAAAATATCAGCGGCTATGCAAGGCGGTTTCAAGTTTGGCTAGATCGATAATGCTCTAAGGGCCAGTGCCTTTGCCAGGCTTCTTGTAGAAAACGAGACACAACACGCTTTTCGACATTCTATCCCAGGCATTGGCCGGTTATTGTCAGTTTTCAGGAACGGGGCATTTCTTAAAAATTCGTATTAAACCCGGTACGGCCGTCTTTTGTACTCGGTTTCTCTTTCAATTGTTTTCTGTTGAGCACTAGGTGGCTTCTCTGGCTGGTTCAGAACGCCTTGAAGACACTCGGGCCCATATGAATGAGAACCGGGTAAAACATTCGCATCAATACGATATATAATATTTTATGCTCAGCTATTATGAGTATCCAGTCACCCATCATGGAACACTTGCCCCAGGAAGTTGATATTCCACAGCCTTGGGTCATGGGTTGTTGATCGAGAGCACAATCAGCGTAAGAGAAACCCGGCTAATGGAAGTAAGTTTCAATATCAGCCGGAATATTCTTATTTTACAGTTGTCTTCTTTTTAGGCATATGGCGTTTAGTTTGATTGCTTTCTAGGAAATTGTTGCTCAAGAGACGTTCTGGGACAGTAGAAACTTCATCTGCATGTCGACCCTATGGAACCTCACAGTCAAGAATACCAGATTTTAATACTCTTCATCCGATCAAACGACTAGATAAAAAGAACCAAGTGCGCATAGTATTATTCAGCATCATATTCCGAACTTTCATTTTGGTTCAGATTCTGTAAAACTGTCGACGAGTGCGGCGCTCCAGGGTAGGTGACTGCTAGCACTACCCCACCTCTCAACTATCTGAATGAGGGATGCTGAATGCCATCAAGGTTTTACGCATCTCGAACATCATACTTCTTATACCGGACATCGATCTCATTTCTAGAGACCCATAAAGTCGTTTAGGCTCTATATGTGATTTTATACCCGCTGAATCATTAGTCAACTGAAGGCGTCGAGACCGGTTCTGAACCCAACACCATGCCCGCGAGCCTGCAAACCGCCTGGGAGACCCAGGTTGCTGCTGGGGAGCCCGCGGCTACAATCAAGCTGCAAAATCTCCAGGTCGTCGTCAAGGGCCCGAAGGACTCCTGGGGACGAGTCAACCAGCCTCTCCCAGCCCTGGTGTCAGCCGAGATCTCCAAAGGGACTACCTTTTCAGACTCTGCCGCGGGGGATTCAGTATGTTCTGATACTGTCCATTACGGACTCTTGAGCAAACAGCTGCAGAAGATCTTTTCCAGCTTCGAAACTCGCCCAGATGGCTGGCAGCTCTCAGACCTGCTCGAGGCCGTCTGGGCACAACTCACTGGGTTCCAACTGATCAAAACAGGAGGCCCCGAGCCAGCTTCACAGGTGTTCCTGGAGAGCTCTTCATTCCAACATCTCAAAGTCACAATACACCTACCCAAGGTCTCACTGCTGGGCAATGGCGTGAGTCTGACTGGGTCGGCTTCGATGGCCGGAGGTGCGCCTCAGTCACGAGCGAGGGTCCTTAGAATCCACGATCTGAGAATTCCCACATTGATCGGGGTGAATGAACATGAGAAGAAGCAGAGGCAGATTGTAATCGCAAACGTCGAGGTTGAGAAATGGGCAGCCCGAGAAGACGGGTACGGTCAGTTGGAAGCTGTCATAACCAAGGTCAGAACCACCCCTCGCCTGGAATTGCAAATTCACACAGAAGCTGAGCATAATCTTGTATTGACTTCTTTTTCTTCCCCTGCCCTAGACTATGAGCGACTCATCGCTGGAGACACTTGAAGCTTTGGTGGATGTTATCGCCACACAAATCACCGGACACCTAAACACCACCTACCCGTCCGAAGCGGCCAACGGTTGGAAACTCAAGATCAGTCTTGATAAGCCAGTCGCAGTTCCCTTTGCGGATGCTCCTTGTGTGGAGGTACGTGTTGATACCCGACATGTACGCACACCCTAGAGATTGGGCACCGTGGAAGATATCTAGGTAGACAGAGTACCTAAGACCCAAGCCATGCCAGAGAACAGGCGGGTCACAACAAAAAGATGGAAGGCGGGTGGATTGAAGTTTGGATGCAAATGGGTTTGGAACCGCAACCAGCGGAGGGGACTGCCCTAGTGCTTTCAAGCATCCGACCTAGGAGTCAATGGCAAGTCCCCGCTCGTTACTTGTCGAACGAAGTCCGGATCAGGGTCGAATAGCATAATGTGGATGTGCTCAACCGAGTGAACCGATTTCAAACTTGTCCAGTTCCTGAACCATCTCACCTTGGAATTATTGTTAGCCTTCCTGTCATCAGACAACCATGATGTGCAATACGACTTCACATACGTGTCCCTCTTTTAGATGTCGAGAGAAAGTTTCATATACAAATTTCCCAATCTGCTCCTGGCCCTCCGAGTTGAGCCTGCCAGTCGCGGGGTCATCCTGGAATACAAACTTTGTCCAGACGACAAGATGGACGATACGATTGTCAATGCCGTATGGCCAGTCGTTGTGCAGGATTTTATAATCCTCTTGATACTCGAAAGGGTCACCTTTGGGTTTGACCGGTTCCTTCCAACGCAATCGTTCCCGTAGCATGAAGTTGGTGACACTTCCATACCTCTCTATTAACTGATGCATGTAAGCCCTGTATCGCCGTAGATCGGATGGAAGTCGTTGGAAATGGGCCAGTGTCATCTGATCGACGAACTGGCAGACCTGATCCCAAGTCTGAATCTCGTATTGAGAGTCCGGGGTTGACAGAATTCCAACATCCTTGTCGCTCAGGTTGAGGAGGTAGTTGGGACATGCCTCAGTGTGGTCCTTGTCGGGCACATTCATGTTCCAATAGGGAACATGCACACAACCCTTCGTCATTTGCTCAAACACCGATGGCGGTTATCAACTCTGGGGAATGAGATATGTTGCGTTGGATCTGGCGACAGGGCAAAAGCAAGGCGTGAGGGACCTGGTTGGGAACAGACCGCAAGAGGTTTTGACATGGAGGTTGGTTGTCTTAGCAAGCAAGGAAGGCACGATGGAGGACATCCCGGGAAATGAAATCTGATTGACCGCCCAGCAGGTCGGTGAGGCCTCGCTTTGGGCGAAAGTCGGATAAGAAGGATGGCAGGGGGCACACATGAGCACAAGGAAGAACCTTGCCAATTAGCAGGTATTACTGGATATATTATTATGGTTCTGATGAAGAGGGAGCGGCTTGGTTGACCGCTACACGGTATCTCAGGCCGTAACCGGTAGCTGTCTGACAAGCGGCCCGTTGTGGCAAGGTTGAACGGTCGGGTTTCAGTTTTTGACACATCCAAGTGTCTTAAGATGATGCCTCTGAATATAGACTATCGTGAGGAGATACCAAGACACTAGGAGACTTTCCTGGCGTCGGGCGTGCCTTTTTTTATGCATGCTGAGAACTCCAGCGAGCGAGTGCAGCGTGCAGATCTGTGCGTTAGCGGTGCCACAAGTTTGTTCACCAATGCAGCGAGGAAAAGAGCGCTAAAACATGGTTCGTCAGGGCGCCAGACTAAGTCAATGCTGGTGCTGAGTTCTCTGATCTGATGGATGGTTCCAAACTGGATCAGTCTGGCAAAACTGGTTGTTGGGCCGCCAATCACGTATTGTCTGTTATCATCGCTTAGCCTCCTGTTCCTCTCTGGAAACACCGACAGCATAAGTAGTGCTGGTATGCAGCAGCCTACCTACCCCTGAGCCATTTCTTTTCCCTCACAGCTGCACCCATGAGCCAATGCCACTGCCACGTGCAGAGATAGGAGGCATATCAAATAGCATTGGCGGTATTTAAACGCAGCGTCCCGTTGACAATGGCTGCCAGCTGCATGAAATGATAGCTGTTTGTTGGTGATAATGACTCATGGGGAACATTGTGTGCCTGATTGGTAGAAAAACTCTGGCAGTTCCGACATCTGGCTACGTTGATTCCCGGCGGTTCGCCCCAAGTGCCACCTCACCGTTCTGAAGCCGGCGATGGTAGCCCGATACGTAGTAGATCTTTCGTAATGTTGACGATGACAACTTTCTTTTTTTGTCCCCATCGGCATACATACTGTAGGGGCAAACTATTCTCCCCGACTTACCAACCTGGGCCGTAGTAGTAACGTACCCGCCACAGGGTAAGCTGGCACCGAAGAGGTAGTTTGCCCCTATTATCTGGCTGCTGAAGGTACTAGCCGGTGATAGTGCCTAAATTGCGTGGTGGGCGGCATTGGTGGCGTCCATTGCCACACGATGGTGTCTACTAGGAAGGGCGTTGGCCTGGTTCTGGTGGGTAAAGATGGGCAATAGTGGGGTCCGGAGCTCGTTGTCGCGAGAATCAGAAATTACGGCAATCAACGATGATGGGGGTCAATAAAACGGCCTTAAACCGTGATTGCCCCCTCGGAAAGGGTCTCGTATTCTTGCTTTGCTTCTTCCTTCACCTCCAAGGCTCCTCTTGGCTTCGTATTGCTTCAAGGACAATTGAACATGTGAGTTGCATCCGTTGTGGTTTCCCCTACACCGATGGTGGTGATGGCGTCAGGGGTGATCAAAGCTCCCTGACGTCAAACACACAATCTTGCTGCCAAACCGCTTTCCACGGGCTGCGTATTCTAACAGGGATCTGCAGCTGTTCAGAAAAGGGAGGAGAGCTCTTGCACCCCGCTATTTCCCCCCAACGCCCAAAACTTCTTCCTCTTGCCTGGAAGACGGCGACTGCTCGCTCTGCTATCTGACAGTGCCCCGCCTTCCGTCTTGCCCAACGAACCTTGTCTCGGTCGACATCCCACTCGCGAGTCATCTCGACCTTTCACGCTCAAGACTCATTCTTGCATCGCTCTCTAGGCGAACCCAGCTCTAAAACACCTTCACAATGGCATCCGCAATTAAGAGTGCGCTGCCGTCGCACCTCAGGCAGGAAGATGCAGAGGCCACCTTTGCTTCGAGACACCATGGCAAGACTCGCAGCCACATGGCAAGTAGACCCCCAATCTTTATCCATAATTGCCCCTCAAACCCGTTCTTTGATTTATGACCATATTCCCCCCTCCTCGCGTGGAATGTTCTGCCCTGGCCGTCTCTCAAAATACCATACCTACGCCTAGCGAAGAGGGGTAACTGCCCTAGGAGCCGTTGCAAAGTTCATTCCTTCGCCACACGGCGTGGTGGGGTAGCAGAAACTGGCTTTTGGCTTTTCCTCGACGACGCGAGTCACCTGGAGGCTTGACTTCTAGAGCGAGCGGTGTGGTAATCTTGGAGACAATTGGAGCTGGTCCTGAAGACAATAGTTAGTTCTCGGGACAATGGCAGCTGGCCATGGGCAGATGATTGTTCACAATAATTCTCGGGATCACCCTGTTACCCCTCAGCCGAGCTTCATGGGGCGCCTAGTTGGCGAACAAATTGGCTGAGCCAGGCGAGAGGGCATCTTGCGAGCAAACTCCAGGTCCCAATCACAATGGCCATCCTCTAACACATTTACACCCTCATCCTGCGAGTTTAATTCAATCCCGCCCTGAAGCGCCTGTCGCGATGTCTAGGGTCCTCCCACCCGCCCAACCATCGATAATTGACCAATGCTTGGGAAACTAGTCCTAACAAGTTCTACAGGCTTTCGAGAACACTTCCACCAATGTCGCCGCCGCTCAGATGCGCAACTCCCTGACACGCCTTGCCGAGACCGTAGAGGACGGCGAGCAGAAGAAGGTTAGCTGGTAACGTCATGGAGGAAAGCTGATCCTATGCTAACTTGGTGAATCCAGCTCTTCGAGACCGAGATGGACAACTTCTTTGCTCTCTTCCGCCGGTATCTTAACGACAAGGCCAAGGGAAATGCTGTGTAAGTCTGTTGCCGGGCTGGCGAGCGAGATGGTAGGCTGACACATTCTAGCGACTGGGACCGCATTGCCCCTCCTGCCCAGGGCCAGGTCGTCGACTACGAGGATCTCGCCAACACCGAAGCCGTCCAGTTCCTCAACAAGCTTGCTGTTTTGAAGCTGAACGGTGGTCTCGGTACCTCCATGGGTTGCGTTGGCCCCAAGTCCGTGATCGAGGTCCGTGACGGCATGTCCTTCCTCGACCTTTCCGTGCGACAAATCGAGTACCTCAACCGCACCTACGACGTTAACGTCCCCTTCATTCTGATGAACTCTTTCAACACCAACGACGACACTGCTGCTATCATTAAGAAGTACGAGGGCCACAACGTGGACATCCTCACATTCAACCAGTCCCGATACCCCCGAATTTACAAGGACTCTCTTTTGCCTGTTCCCAAGAGCTTCGATTCTTCCATCAACGAGTGGTACCCTCCCGGCCACGGTGATGTTTTCGAGTCGCTTTACAACTCTGGAATCCTCGACAAGCTCATCGAGCGAGGCATCGAGATTGTTTTCCTGTCCAACGTGGACAACCTGGGTGCCGTTGTTGACCTGCGCATCCTGCAGCACATGATTGAGACCAAGTCCGAGTACATCATGGAGTTGACCAACAAGACCAAGGCTGATGTCAAGGGTGGTACTATCATCGACTACGAGGGCTCTGTCCGCCTGCTGGAAATTGCCCAGGTCCCTAAGGAGCACGTGAACGAGTTCAAGTCCATCAAGAAGTTCAAGTACTTCAACACCAACAACATTTGGCTGAACCTCAAGGCCATCAAGCGTGTCGTGGAGAACGACGAGCTTGGCATGGAGATTATTCCCAATGGCAAGACAATCCCTGGCGACAAGAAGGGCGAGTCTGACATCAGCATTCTTCAGCTGGAAACCGCCGTTGGTGCTGCCATTCGTCACTTTAACAACGCCCACGGTGTGAATGTGCCTCGTCGTCGTTTCCTTCCAGTCAAGACATGCTCTGATCTTATGCTGGTGAAGTCTGACTTGTACACCCTCAAGCACGGTCAGCTCCAGATGAGTGCCGCCCGATTTGGCGATGCGCCCCTCATCAAGCTCGGCGGTGACTTCAAGAAGGTGTCCGACTTCCAAAAGCACATCCCTTCCATCCCCAAGGTCCTTGAGCTTGACCATCTGACCATCACCGGTGCTGTCAACCTTGGCCGCGGAGTCACACTCAAGGGTACTGTCATCATCGTAGCTACCGAGGGCAGCACAATTGACATCCCCCCCGGTTCCATCCTCGAGAACGTGGTTGTCCAGGGTTCCCTGAGACTCCTGGAGCACTAAGTGCGCTGTTTGTTTATTTGTTTATTTTCTTCTTTTTTGACCACTATCATTCTTTACTTCTACCTAATTAATACTCTTTGCATGCCAGAGCGGCACAAACAGACGGCTAGGGATGGTCATGATATGCCGATCTCGGCTCAGAACAAACGGCAAATGGAATGGAGGCAACTTAAAAAACGGGCCGGGGATGGTGGTGTAGCTAAGCCCCTCCCCGCGCGAGGCGATGACAAACGGTTGCAAGTGTCTGGATCAAAAATAACTCTTTGGGACGCGATTCTACATCGACACTATCTATGTGAGGGTGTGCCAGACGAAGCTATAATCTGATCCTTTGGAGCGAAATTCATGCGTTGTGCTTCTGTGACATGCAAGCGCTTTGGCGGAGCTGAACAAGAGTCCCGAAAATCTCACACACCCAAACGACTGTGGCTTTGAACCCATCCATGGTGTTTTTGGGTTTGACTGGCTGAAACATGGCGATTTCTCTCACGATTATTTGTTTGCTAGGCAGCAAGTAGCATAGTATCGAAACGCAGGAAACGTGTCAAAAAAGAAAAAGGGTTACATTGACCCAGCCATGATGTGAGCACTTGGGACCATATACAGCAAAATATTGAATCTGCTGCTGCACGTACGTAGTCTGCCTGCATTCATGGCATAAGCGCCATGATCTAGGCTTTTCCAGCAAGCATAGTCTGGCCATCGAGGTCGGACTAGCGACCGGGGCAACACTGTATTTGGTGGGTCTGGATCGGGAAGAACCAACAGTCATCTGTGGTAAAAGCCGCGAAAGCACAGACGGGTGTCATGGTCCATTGGGGAGACGTAAGCACTGGAAGGCGGAGTGGATGTGATATCGAGAGCTGTGCCGCTGGATGCGTGATAGTGAAAGACGACGTCGTCGTGGCTGGAGCCAGGTGGAGGCTGATCTCAATGGCGGCCTTTTTAGGGCGGTCCTAGAGGCAAAAGCCGGGTGAGGCCTCGTGCTATATTGGTGCAGAGCGATAGCCTAGGGTGGTTAGTGGTAGCGCCCCATCGCTGGGGCCAATTGGCCAGTTGGGTCGCAAAAGGGGCGCGCGCGAATCAGAGGAGGATCGCTGCGAGTTGCTTCTGGTGTGCAAGGGCCCCAAATGAACAAACAGATGAACGGATGGAATTCAGGCGAGAATGCCAGGCTTCTGGTGCGTTCGGCTGGCAGTTTGAGCCGGGCAGGCCTGGCGGTGGCAATCTCCAGGTGCACTCAGGCGCATTCTACAATTAGATTTCATAGGGCCAGGTAAGGCCAGGTAAGGCCACAAGCGAGACCAGGCTGGAAAATTTCCTACTGATTTCTGACACACATACAGGGCAGGGCACATTCTGGGAGGGAGAGAGTTTGCACCTGCAGGCGGCAGGATACAGAGACAGGTTCTGCACTGCCTTGGCTGGTCGAGATGATTGTGGGCGAGGGGGGGAGGGGAGGGAGAGGCCATGTGACGCTGAGAGAGGATGAACCTTGTTCTTCTGCTTACCGCGGCGGTGCAGTTTGGGGAAATGGCAGGGGTCGAGGGAAGCGGGAGCTGCGGACAGAATCCCACCCAAGAGGGCAATTATGCAAGGATGTAATGCAGTCACTTCTCTGGTCGAGTCGCCTGGGACGGGCCAGGATGTGAGCGCGTTGGCGGGCCCACCTCCAATCTTAAAAGCAATTTTGTTTGGAGTTGCTGCCCAGGGGTCTGTAATTGGGAATGTCTACGCAACGAGACAGACACAGTGCGACCTTGGGGGTGGGGAAAAGCAAGGGCCAGTGCCTCGATGGCCGTGACCAGAGGTGTGAGCACTGACGATGGTGGTGTTCTTTTGCCACTGAGTTCGTTCCTGCCTCGAGTACGATGGGGATGACGGAACTGATGCGACGTTCTCGTACTGGCTAAGGAGTTGGGGATCTCGTGTCGGGCTGAACACGGCGAGCTAAGAGTGTTCATGAGGTTTGTTGATCTACAAGATCAGCCTGGGCGGACGGACTCGTCAAGCTCGTCCTGCTTGCAGCCGGGGCCTAGTGCTTGGTGGCCTGGAGGTACCTCGCAGTGAAATCAAGGCCAGCAACCGGGCTAGACCTCTTGGGAGAGACGGTCCACGGTTGGTAGTGGGAAGGCGGCCGTAGCGCGTGCGCCTTGAGTCAACCAAGGTCGTGGGAAGAGGGCGGGGACCCAGGGGCGAAGACCTGATGGCTTCGCCCAAGACAGGGTCGAGAGCGCCGGTGTGCATGTGGCCGGACGGGCTTTGCGTCGTGTATTGTGCTGATCCGAAAAGGTTTGGCTGCGCAGAGAATTCAGAAACTATTTAGAAAAGGTGGTGGACGCCTCGTTCTGGTGCATTGCATCCCTCCCTCTCACCCATCTGTCCTCTGTTCCATCCATCCAGTCCACCCATCGTTTTGTCCATCCACCAGCTCTGAACTTCGGTCTGGTTTTGTGTGTCTGGTATTCGACAACCCAATCTCTCTTGCCCGCTTGCTTGCTCATATAATCCGGCCCTGCTACACGGTACCACCCGTACTCATACTGTACGCTCCTACGGCCCATCATCCTTGTAAGTCTTGTCTCTTTGCCCGCCCACTACCTTATCAGGCCGCCCCGGCACGTACCAATCACAGGCGCCTGGCACGCTGCAGCACCTGTCAAGACTGGCCCTTGTGGGGTGGATATCTCCGACGCAGGAACCGAACAACACCTCCCCCAAGCTACTGTGCGTGGTTATCGGCCACCCAGGCCGTGTCTCCTCCTGGATCAGGCCAAGGGCGGCGGAAATTTGGGGAAATGGCAAATGCCAGGCTCAGTGGGCTGTTCATTCCTTGCCTTGATGACTTCCCTTATCCTGGCCCCCGGGCGACCACTGAGGCGCCACTGATGGCCGCCTCCTCGGTGGCCCGGGGGCTGCAGCTGTTGCCAGTCTTGGGCGGCCTACAAGAACAGTCATCTCCCACGCGATCACAGAACTGACCTCTCCTTCCAGACCTTATCCAGCTCTCGTCTGACTGCTTCGCTAATAACCAACCCACTTTCATTCCTTCACTACACGAAGCAAAGTTCAACAACAAGCTCAACGTCACTCCTTTGACTTAACCAACACTCACTCACCACACACACAAAACACCAAAGCAAAACAAACTACCGTCAAGATGAAGTACTCTGCTGCCGTCCTCGCTTTCGCCGCTGCTGTTGCCGCTCAGCCAGCTTTCCTCAACACCCAGTTCAATGTCGTCACTGGCCAGCCATTCACCCTCCAATACACCGGTTGCGAGGCTGGCTGCACCATTCTCCTCAAGAGCGGTCCCAGCGGCAACCTCAACACCGTCCAGACCCTGACCAGTATGCCGTTTCTTGTGCCAATGGGTGGTTGAAGGATTTCTGATGTACTAATTGCCTCGATTGTAGCCTCTGCCACTGGTAGCTCCACCACCGTCACTGTCAGCAACGTTCCCGCCGGCACCTACGCCTTCGAGATCATCGACAGCACTGGCGCCAACAACTACAGCGAGCAGTTCCAAGCTGGATCCGGCACCGCCACCACTTCCGCTTCTGCCTCGTCTTCCAGCGCTCCTGCTTCCACCTCCAGCGCCCCCGTCACCACCACTTCCGTCGTCTCTTCTTCCTCATCCAGCTCTTCTGCTTCCGCTTCCAGCACCAGCGTTGTCTCCTCCACCAGCGCTTCCAGCAGCAGCAGCTCCAGCTCCACCAGCGCCTCTTCCTCCGCCACCACTCTGAGCACTGTTACCAGCTCCGCTGTCACCACACCTTCCTCCAGCTCCACTACCCGTAAGTTTCCTGTCATTCTACCATCGCATAAACTATTTGCTAACATGTCCAAGGTGCTGCCTCAACCTCAGCTTCTGCCACCGCTGCTCCCTCCACCGTCCCCGACAACGGTGCCGGCTCTCTGACTTCCTCCCTGTCTCTGGTTCTCGGCGCCGCTGCCGCCCTGGTCTTGGTCTACTAAGTCGAGTCTGAGATGGTGTCAGGTGGTCGTTAGGAAGACTTCTTCCGCCTTCTTGACTATATAACGTTTTTTAATGATTGTTTTACTGCACGCACTTTCATGAGGAAAGTTAGTTATATGTGGCGTTATGGGGCTGGCGAGAGCAGGTCCAAGGGCCGTTTGTCCTTCCTTGATATCCTTGATATTCCCCCAAAATCAACTGGCGAAGGTCCGAGTTGGTAGTTTGTTCCAACGCACTCGTTGGTAAAAATACAAAACTGATGCAATTCAAGTTTGACAATCATGGCCCCCTCCATTGTGTGTCCTACGTGATGTTCTGTGCCATCCATGTCCCAGTATGCCGTGCGACGAAAAGGCTTTCTGGCGTTTGACAGCGTCGATCCCCCCATTGTTGTGGCACGTCCGGGCGCTACCAACAAAGTATAATTAGCCGTATTACTGCTTCCGCCGACTTTGATTCATGCAGCAACGGAGCACGAGTCCATAGGCTCGGCCCCGTGGTGGAGAGTGATGATCCGAGCTCGTTGGGGCATAGCAAGAAAAAGAAGAGCGGGCGGCCTTTAGCGAAAGTCTGTACCTTGCCTGTACTCCACGTTCCCGCATTCGAGACGAAAATCAAGGAACTTCGCATATTTTTCTACATCGACTATCAAACAACGAACGGGGAACACCCCTGTCGGTCGGCGCGATTACTGGATAACAGCGCCTCGATGTTTTACCTACATTACTCACATATACAAATGCTGAGGTGATTGGCCATCGTGCATGACGTCGCTAAGATTTCAATGCATACCAGCTGGGCCACTCACGGTGCGGCGATCATCTTTTGGGCGGCAGTGGTTTTGCTGCTTCCGTCGCCACCTCCTTTTGATCTTTGGCTTATCGCCGCTGCGGCGAAAGAAAAAAAAGAAAAAGAAAAATGGGCTAGTCGGGAATTTTTGATGTGATATGATATAATAAGATGCATTATAGTATGGGAGCTGCCAAAGTACCGTGCAGACTGCAGAGTGGGTTATGAGGCC